GTGGGGGGGGTAGGTAATGTGACATGAGTAGCTCCTATATCGATGCACAGGTGCTCTAATACGAATAAAAGTAACGAGTACCGTTAGACCATCATTTATAATGGGAATGGATTATAAGAACGAGGAGTTGATTTTTCAATTCATATATCAATACGACGGCGGGAGTAAATTAGAATTTCATGAAAGTATTGTTAATGGACGATGCAAGTAGGAAATTATTTTGTGCGTCGTTACATCTATTGGACAATATGTATAATACGATGACAAGCTTCATAAACGAATAAGAAAGATAAACGAATTTTCCCGAATAATATAAGAAATTTTTCATGACTCATGAATGAATGTTTACCGCAAACGGAAGTTATGCGCGTGAATGCTGCAACAATTTATCAATTAAGGGCATTTACATAGTTAGAATCGTGAACATTTTATAAATATCCCGCACATTGTAGATTTCTGCAATTAATGAAGCGATTATCACTGTTATCCTGTCATTTATTATATCGGCCATTTTCAGTCATCTTTATTTCTTAATTCTATCTTAATAATTGAGGAAAAATGAGAAGAAAGCTCATGCCACTCAATATGAATATATATATATATATACTGCTAGGTGTATGGTTATTTAAGCTATTTAATAATTATACGAAGCTTATTATTTTATACATCGTAATAGATCATTACCCGATATCTTATATTACATTTCAATCAATTAATAATCATTTCATTTTCAAGATTTTTAATTCAAATTTATCTTGTATCTTAATTACAGGTGTACATTCTGCATCGTGCAACTTTTCAATATCACTGTTCCAACTGTGCTGAGTTTGTAAAATATTAATATAAAGCCAAAACCTCGTAACATATTATAGGTAATATTTTTAAAATATCAATCAATGTGTGCGTGTGCGTGAGCGTGCGTGCCCGCGCGTATACTAACTTCAATTACAAAATTCAGAAAAACTTTCCTTTATATTTTACAAACATGTTTATCTACAGCTTACGACTCGGTAATCAAGTTACTCGCAAATTCAATCTTTAATTCGGATTCATTCGGTAATCATGCACAGATTTTGAATTCCAAACTCTGCATTAAATGTAAAATTAAGAATGATAATAAAATATTATTTATTATGATTAATAACTTTACGTAAATGGAATGGTAAATAATATTATGACTTATACAAAGCATACGTAAGCTAAATATACTGAACTTTATACTTAATCGTTTAATAATACTAAAATAACGTTTTACGTATTGAGAAAGAAGTTATACTTTTATTGTATAAATAAGTTATTATGCCAGCTACTTTTACAAAAAATTATTCGTCACGTTAAAAACAAAAACAAAAAACAAAAAAAAAAAAACATTTTCAGGAATTTGTCAAAAATTAAAAAAACATAATTGCTGTACTAATTAATTTACTGTACCGACAAATTCATAATTAACATTCTGATTACATTTTTCTTCGACAAAGAGACTTAATACTTAATATTTTACATACAAAATTAAATTTCGAATTATTATTGATAATTATATAGCAATAGTAATAATTAAAAATTAGCTAATTACGTAAATTATATTTATCGTTTGAACAACATTTTCAAAATTCATTTAAAGCATATTTCAATTTACAATTTGATTTTTTTCATCCTATACCCAATTCCCAGAAAATGAAAAATATTTATTATAAGATTTTCATTGATTTTGATTATTAAATGTTGTATCATTAATGGATATAATATACAATAAGATATTCAAATTTTATTTATGCACACATATATTGGTCAATGTTATGCGAAATTATTATTTATAAGTCTTTTTTTTACTTGAATTTTAATTCATGCAATGCATTTTATTTATTCTTTAGACAAGCTCATCTATGAAACATATTTTATACGAAATTCACATTAAAGAAGCAGTAAATATTCTTCAAATGCACTAACTTAAAGTTGCATCCTTTACTCGACGTTGTACAAGCTCATACTCTTAACTCAAATAGTATGGTATTATGTATTTTTAAATTCAGACTGTGTGAAATTTAAAAATAAAAAATAAAAAAAATTGCAAGTCAATATAAGGTAAAATAGATTTTGTGAGTTACGATTAACGGATTTCTCGTCTAAACGGATGATTTACAACACGAATAAGGAAGGTTATTTAAAATGTGTCTACTTTAAATAAATATTACATTATTTCCGTTAAAGCAATACTTTATCCTTACTTGAGAGTTCATTTATTATTTACGACAATGTTACAATAGATAAAAAAAACTCCTAACATTATATATAAACGCAACGTGTTATATATAAAAATAATAGGCCTGATGTCGCATAATAATACCAACACTTAGATAATATTTTAGAAAATTTCAAAAAACCGTTAATATGTTTAAATTTAAATTTCAATCGCAAAATTAAAATTCTTAAAGAGACATTACCTAGTAAAAGAGGCTGAGACTTGCATTTAAGAAATACATTTGTAGTTGACGTAAGATTTGTAGATGACAACCTCGCGAATGCGAATATGATGATTTAACAATAAAGTAGCACGGCATTCTTGGCTATATTACGCATACACTTTACCGACTTAATTTTTATAAATTCACTGCTACATAATATATATTTAGTAATCTAATTTTTATCTAACTTCTGAAAACAATAATAATATTGACATGAAAA